ATCCCCTATTCCCAATTCCTTCGCCTCCGCCGCATCTGCTCCCAGGATGAGGCATTCCACTCCCGTACATCTCAGTTGTCCTCGTGTTTCAAGGACCGTAACTTCCCCCCCTCAGTGGTCGAGAATGCCCTCAACCGTGTCTCCCACATCTCCCGCAACTCATCCCTCACACTCCGTCCACGCAATAAGAACCAAAAAAGAATCCCCCTCGTCCTCACGTACCACCCCACCAACCTCCAGATCCAACGCATCATCCTCCGACACCTCCGCCATCTGCAATCCGACCCCACACCAAAGACATCTTTCCCTCCCCACCCTTATCTGCTTTCCGGAGGGACCACTCTCTCCGTGACTCCCTTGTCCGCTCCACACTCTCCTCCAGCCCCACCACACCCGGCACTTTTCCCTGCAACCGCAGGAAGTGCTACACCTGCCTCCACACCTCCTCCCTCACCCCCATCCCAGGCCCCAAGAAGACTTTCCACATCAAGCAGATGTTCACCTGCACATCTGCCAATGTGGTATACTGCATCCGCTGTACCCGTTGTGGCCTCCTCTACATTGGGGAAACCAAGCGGAGGCTCGGGGACCGCTTTGCAGAACACCTACGCTCGGTTCGCAATAAACAACTGCACCTCCCAGTCGCAAACCATTTCAACTCCCCCTCCCATTCCTCAGACGACATGTCCATCCTGGGCCTCCTGCAGTGCCACAACGATGCCACCCGAAGGTTGCAGGAACAGCAACTCATATTCCGCTTGGGATTTTTTTTTTTTTTTTTTTTTTTTTTGGATTTCACAAGCCTCAAAATCTCCCCTCCCCCCCCCGCATCCCAAAACCAGTCCAGCTCGCCCCCGCCTACATAACCTGTTCTTCCTCCCACCTATCCCTCCTCCCACCTCAAGCCGCACCCCCATCTCCTACCTACTAACCTCATCCCGCCCCCTTGACCTGTCCGTCCTCCCTGGACTGACCTATTCCCTCCCTAACTCCTCACCTTTACTGGCTCCGTCCTCGCCTCTTCGACCTGTTTGTTTCCTCTCCACCTATCCTCTCCTCTATCCATCTTCTATCCGCCTCCCACTCTCTCCCTATTTATTTCAGAACCCCCTTCCCCTCCCCCATTTCTGATGAAGGGTCTTGGCCCAAAACGTCAGCCTTTCTGCTCCTATGATGCTGCTTGGCCTGCTGTGTTCATCCAGCTCTACACCTTGTTGTCTCGGATTCTCCAGCATCTGCAGTTCCTACTATCTCTGATTCACATTTTACAAGAGTTACCCCAGGTTGCCATTTATCTGGATGATGTATTAATAACAGGGAAGACCAACAAAGAGCACTTGAAGAACCTGGACATGGTGCTTAAACATTTCTCCCAGGTGGGCATACACCTTAGAAGGGAAACATGTGTGTTCCAGCACCTCAAGTGACCCACTTGGGTTACAGAGTCGACAAACCAGGTTACACCCGTTGGAAGTGAGGGTGATCAAGGGGTCCTTGCTTCCATATCTGTACCAGAGATTAGGTCTTTCCTTGCATTAGTGAATTGTTACGGAAAATTCAAACGTAACCTGGCCTCCATCTTGGCACCCTGACACCTGCTGTTGAAAAAGGGTCAGCCTTGGAAATGGTCATGAAGCTGAGAAGCAGCCTTTAGGGAAGTGAAAAAGCAGCTGTTGTCATCTAAGGTCTTGGCCCACAATGATCCAAAGCGAGAAGTTGTGCTGACATGTGATGCTTCCCCATACGACATGGCAATAGTGTTGGCTCACTGGTGGCCCTTCAGACAGTACCGCCTGATAGTATATGCTTCCCAGAATTTGGCTGATGCCACCAGCAAATATGTCCAAATAGAGAAGGAAGGTTTGGCAGTCATCTTCATTGTCAGAAAGTCGCACCACTACCTTTTATGGACGGGAATTTGTCATAGTAACAGACCATAAACCCCTGCTAGGGCTACTGAAGGAAGATAAGGCAGTCCCGCCCATAGCTTCTGATAGAATTCAGCGTTGGGCCCTTATTCTCAGCGCATACAAGCTAGAACACCGTCCAGGAAGCCAAGAGGCTAACGCAGATGCCTTGAGCTGCCTCCCACTAGCAGATACTCCACCAGCGGCGCCTCCCCTGGAAGAGTCCATTTTGGTTTTAAACTTCCTGGGCACCCTTCCAGTCACCACTGACAATATCCAACTGCGGACACAAAAAGATCCTGTCCTAGCGAAACTAAGAACACGGGTGATAATGGAAACAGAAGGGGCATCACAATCTGGACTGAAACCTTACTAGGCACAGCGAGACCAGATCCCTATAGAGAGTGGCATATACTGTGGGGAACAAGTGTGATTATCCTAAGTCTGTTGCATATATCGGGTGAGGACATATGACTGAAACGGCTTCTATGTCACCTCCCTCTCACGTGCTATTAACTATGCTATGCACTATCACTATTCTGTGTGGTCATATATTATATCTTGCATAATTATTTCCCTAATTACCCCTATGCTATTTACCCTTCTGGGCATTACTTTAAGTAACAAAAAGTATCAACAAGACACCGCCTACTAACATATACTTCTCTACTTCAAATTCAGCAACCGTTCTTTGGACACATGTTAGACCAGTGCTTGAGAAAATCATTCAAGTTTCTCCTATAGAAAGGAGCTAGTTGAGAACAGTTAGAAAATTGGTTACTTCAGTGTACGGGAGTTTAAAAGTTATAGACCAGAAGTGTTTGGTTATTTGAAGTTAAGAAACTTTAAGCTCAAAATAAAACCCAAAAGAACTGCAGATGCTGTGAATCAAAACAAAAACAGAAATTGCTGGTGTGGCTGCATCTGTGAAGATAGATCAGAGTTTAAGGTTTCGCGTCGGGTGACCCTTCCTCAGAGCTCAGGGTGAAAAATCAAGGAAAAGGCTGCCATGCTGTCAAGACTGGGAACTGAAAGAGACACTTAAGTCAAAATGAAAACAAAGTTGCTGGAAAAGCTCAGCAGGTCTGGCAGCATCTGTGAAGGAAAAAATCAGAGTTAATGTTTCGGGTCCGGTGACCCTTCCTCAGAAACATCCGTAGTTCTTTCGGTTTTTATCCAGTAGTAATATCAGCTGTGATCATACTATCTGCTGCAGTAGCAATTGTGGGTCTATTAGCATGCTGCAGCGTCACACTAGTCATGATCCATAGAATCAGTTAGATATTAGAGACATAACAGGAGCTGCCCATTATTCTGTAAAAATGAAAGAAGAACAGATGCTTCACTCTTTTTCCTGAATCAGTTGAATTAAAATGTCAGATCTCTGGTGGGGAGAGAAAAATTAAAGTTCAAGAGTAAAAGTCTCAACCACAAGCTCAGGATAAATTGAAACTTTGAGATGATTAAATCTTTAGGGGATATCTCTGATCAGCTTGCAGGATGAACTACAAGCTCTGTGCCATCAATCCAGGGAGGAATTTGCACATGAAACAGCTCACACTCAGCAGGAACAGCTACAGAAACATCAGCTTGAGCTCAAAGCAATGCTGGAAGAAATGACAGACCTGTAAAACAGGTGGAGATACAACAGGGAGCTGCAAATGACTCATGAGGCAATCCATTTAGAAATAAATGAATGTGCTAAAGCGAAAGAACTCATGAAGGATACAGAGGAAAACAAATAATCACTGGGGCAGAACTGGAAGATGTCCAGACTTTAAAGAAAACAACAAGAAATAAATAGTTGGAGAGGCCAGAAAGTCATGAGAGTGGGTTATGAAGGAAAAAATATCCTGGACAAACAGAAAGCACACATTTTGATAGAATTCAAAAAATCCAGAACATAAATCCAGACCTTTTTAAAGAGGAACAAAATAGTAAATTCAAAGATTTTAACCACTTGAAAAGAGTTTGAGGAATGAAATCAATCTCATCTGGAACAAAACTTGGCTGCAGAGTCTCAGCAAAACCAAATTCTGGAACAGCAACTGTAGCCCATGAAAGGAAAACTCGACCAAACAAACAGTAACATGACTGTAGAAACCAATGGCACCTCCAGACAGAGTCAACATCAGGAGATCTGAATATATCAACAATATTTATTATAAACTCACATATTATAGAGACTTGGAGTCTCTTGTTATTGCAAATAAAGCAGAGTTGGAGAGTGGCAGAAAATTCAAAGCAGAAATGGCTGGAAACTCAGGGTCATGCTTGAGGACTCAATGGAGGTGTTCGTCAAGGACAATTCATGTCAGGGCTCCAAAATACAACGGGACCACATCGTGAACAGCAGGGAGTAAACTGAAAGGGGTATAACTAAGTTACTGTTTCACCTGAAAGTTTTGGTGCCTTGGATGGTGGGATGAAAGGAGATAAAAAGACCTGTCTCCGGGTGATAGTGAAAAAGTACTGAGGGAAGGGTAGGGTAGGTGTTGTTGGACGTGATTGAGAAGTGGACCAGGGTGTGTCAGGAGGAAGAGGGATGGGAGAGGAAGATGGGTGTGGTGGTGGGCACTTAAAGGGTTGGAAGATGAGCATTCATGGTGATTGAGAGGCAGGACAATGGGCGAGAGGTCCCAAGCACAAAAGATGACCACTTCCCATTCCATTTTCTCATGCACAGTATGACCCCGCCCACACCATCTGACCCCGCCCCCCCGCGGTCGTTGCCCCCCCCTGCCGTCTAACCCCGCCCCCATCTGACCCCGCCCCCTGCCGTCTAACCCCGCCAACACCATCTGATCCCGCCCTCCACGGTCTGAACCCCGCCCACTGCGAACTCCACCCTCTGTAGCCTGACCACGCCCCCTACCGTGTGAACACGCACCTAAGATAGACTCCGCCCCCTGCCTTACCACACCCTGCCGTCTGACCCCGCCCCTAGTATCTGACTACGTCCCTCCCACGGTGCGACCCTGCCCCTAAGGCCTAACCCCACCTCCATACCACATTACGTTCCCTTTTTGTCCAGCTCAACCCCCACCACACACCCACATTTTAAAACAACAGAAACCACTACAACACTTAATGAACGGATGAAAGCACTCAGCTGCAATCGTGTTGAGGATAAAATTATTTATCGTTATTCGGTTGTGACCTTTGCCCCCACCCACCGTTTTGGCGTGTTTCCGGCCAGTGCCGCGCCTGCGCATTGCAGTCTGAAGATGGCGGCGGTTTGGGGTCGCATGTTTCGTCGGAGCCTGAGCGGTGTCAGGCAGCTGTCTGCAGCGGCCGCGTCCGAGGAGCACCAAGGGGGTGAGCATAGCCTGGTCCAGGTTTGTAGCGGAGGGAGGAGAACAAGCTGGACAGACGGTCTGGTCCGGGGTGGAGGGGGACAGCGGCTGTGACCTTGGCCCCGCGGCCCTGTCCCAGGCTCTGGTCCCGCCCCAGCCCGGGGGGGAAGGTGGGGAGGTGTCCTCAGCCCTTCCCCATGTTCTTGTGCAGTTACTGATATCAACATCGCCGCCGTTAAGTAGACAGCGCTTGCTCCAAATGGGTTGAAAAAGGAAACGGGAATTTCCTTATTGAACGTTTTCCTAGATTTAGTTTAAATTATTAATGTTTAAATGCAAGGAAAGACTGTAAGGTTACATGTGTCTGCTTAAGGTTGTGGTTAGAATAATATAGTCTTAATTCACTATCGCAATCATGCGCTAAAATGTGCTAGTTCGCGTTTATTAACAGAGGGTAGGCCTCACTTGTCTTCCCCTTAATGTTAGATGGCAAAATCAATGTCTGAGAGTTCTTTCTGGATTTGAGATGAGAATGACAGTGGGAAGGAATGATGACTCTTGACACCAAACGACGATTTGTTTTCTTTCCTGAATTTTGGGCTCTCGAGGTTGTCTGCGAATTGCTCATCAAAGCCGTTCCTGCCCTAAACACTTTAATATTCAGATAAAGACACTCGCCAGAAACATTGGTATTGCAATTTTATTGCATTCATTATCTAACAGTAGTTGTGAGCTTAGATGTGTCTCAACGAAATTCATTTGCAGTGGGACTAAAATTGTAGTGGAATCATTCTTTATTGTGTAAAGGACTAAGTATATTGTGTCCAAACATATTTGATTGGAACATATGTTGTTTTCCTGTCCCCCTCTGGCAGCCCGTATGTGGAAGATCCTGTCTTTTGTTGTTGCTATTCCTGGTGTAACTGTCTGTATGTTGAACTGTTACCTGAAGGCACAGCAGCACAGCCATGAGAGACATGAGTTTGTTGCTTATGAGCACCTCCGCATCAGGACCAAAGTGAGTACTGTATCAAATGTAAAGGATTGTTAATAGCATGGAAAAATTGTGCTGTTGTAGAGTAATGAGTTTAAAAAAAAATGCACAGAATTCTTGAATGTAAAGTATCAAAATTAGCTGCATTACTCAAAGTCAAATTTTGTAAAACATTATTTCTATGAAGAAAATCCAGTGTAGAAATACAAAGCAGTACTGGAGAATAGAGGAAATCACCTTGTTACATCCAAGGTGCTTATTAGTTCCTAGAGGAAATATCACTTGTGGATCTGTTATTCTGGACTTTACTTTGTCTGGCACAGAAACCTAAATACTGCATAGTTGAAAGCCCAAACATTGATCTAAACTGTTCCTTTGGTCCAGTTGGTGGAACCTGACTTCTGTGTCATATTAAGTGAAACTGGCAATTCATAGTCATGAACACCATAATTGGTAATTACGTTCAATATTATTGAATAGTTTCCCAGTAACTTGAGTGACAAACCTGTCCTGTGTTTATACCTCTAGGAAGTTTATCTAACCAGTGTCAGTTGAATTGTGATCTGCTCTTCAACCAGTATTAAGGTTTCAGGAAATCATATCATAGTACTCCTAATTGAGAAATTAGCAAGTGAATTGAGTCCTCCTGACTCCAGCAGTTCATTCATTTGACTCCAGTGACAAGTCAAGATCCTTTGGTCCAACTTGTCTGTGCTGACCAGACTTCCCAAACTGAATTAGTTCCACTTGCCTGCATTTGACCTGTATCCCTCTAAACTTTCCCTATTCATGTACCTGTACAAATGTATTTAAATGTTAAAACTGTACCTGCATCTACCACTTCCTCTGGGAGTTCACCCTTAAGTTGCTTTTAAATCTTTCTCTTCTCACCTTAGAATTATGCCATCTAGTTTTGAACTGCCCTACCCCAGGGAAAAGACCTTTGCTATTCATCTCATTTATGTCCCTCATGATTTTATAAGTAGAATTTTTCTTCCTCTTCTGGCTTAGTTAGTTGGTGAGTTATATCTAGGGTGGTGGGTTAATGGGTTGAAAGGTGGACCAAAGCATTCACCTTAAGACCTAAGCATCAAAATTTGTTACCCAACCTGTGGAGCACATTTGATTAAATAGCTGTCAGCCCACTACCCATAGAGAAACTGTATCTTCATTTCAGTGTCTTGTATAAAACTGAAGAATAATTGGCCAAGCCTGAGTGAAGGATGTGATGATTAAATGTGCTGTGTAACGATGAAATGAGGTAATTTTAGTCTTGCCCCATGAATTTCCTCAGCTGTATCTGCAGAAAGCATGAAGCATGTGATAATGGGAAGATCCTGGACTGGCTGACTATTGACTGGATCAGTTTGGGGGCCCTGGCGTTTGAAGAGACCTGACTTTTCCAGCCCCTCATTTTGTATAATACTTTCGTCTAATGTCATGTGTGGTTCGATTCTCTTGTTTGATTTGAAGTTGGGAGAGGGGGAGCCATTACAATGGATCCCAGGCCTTTAAAATTGTGAAGTTAATTTAATTTTGGTTCACATCTTCCACTTGGGCCCCATTAAGTATTCTTCAGTTTTATACGTGAGATACTGAAATTAATGGGTATTAATGGGAAATTACACTCTATGGGTAATAGGCTGACAGGTATTTAACCAAAGGTGCTCCATAGGTTGGATAACTTAAATGTTGATACTTTGATCTTAAGCAAGGTGAATGACTTGGTCCACCTTGTTCCTTCTGGAATAGTTTTACTGACAAACTGTTTTACTATTCCACTTACAGCCATTCCCTTGGGGTGATGGGAAGCACACTCTCTTCCACAATCCCCATACCAATCCTCTGCCCACTGGCTGGGAAGATGCAGAGGAACACTGAAAGTTTGGAGCTGAGAAGACCGGCCTTGCGTTTATGAACCATTTCGTCAAGTCTAAAAAACAAAAATCATGTGAATGTGTGCATTATTTTAAAAAGAAAAGACAATTATGTAATGTGTTCACCTTTAATAAGGTAACACCATAATAAATATACTGTGGAAAATTTTGTCAGCTGTTTCTTTTGTGGAGTAAGTGAATGCTGTTGGATCTGATGAGTTGAGCTTTTGTCAATGACTGGAAAAAAAGTACAAGAAATTTTAATCTACTTTGAAGCTTTTGGATGAATGTTTTATGTAATGCTTGTGAGCCTAGTGTCTCAAGTGCAGATTCGGGCCCAGCTTCTTATTCTGAGCTTGGACTCCACTCAGCCTTGTTGAGTATATTCAGAGCTGGCATTTGTTACCATCTGTTCTTTGCTTTATACCAGCAATTTCTCATTGGAACAATGGACTCTGCATGTACGCCTCGTGCTCAATAGCAGGTTATCAAAATTGGCAGCATTAAAGCAAGTAAAAAGACTTCATTATCTTGCAGGACAATTATTCTGCTATTGCTTTTTATGTGGCAAGAAGGCATGCCATCCTTTAGCTGATGGGTCTGTCCTAAATGATAAACTGCAGTTACCACACTGCTCCTGCAGAGTAACATTTGACCATGGTGGATGCTGAGTAAATCTTTCCTTGAAGTCTATGGTGGAAGCAGATTCAATCAAGTTATCTGAGAGACGATTTGTCTGCTTTCTGGATGGAAGAACATGCAAAGTTCTGAGCAGAAAGGTATTAAATTAACTGGTGATTCTAAGAACTGATGCAAATGCAGTGGGTGGAATATCCTCCTGTGCTGTAACATTCCTGGATCAGATGTAAAATCAAAGTAATTCTCCTGTTACTGTCTGCATACAGTGAACAGGTTTGCTGCATCTACGGAAACACGCCATTACTGCATCTATGTAGTTAACTTTGCATGCACCAACTTTTGTCTCAGTTTACCCATTCAGACTGAACTATCAATATACAGGTTATGTGGGTTGCAACGATGAGTGAATTAAAAACTGAAAAGTTATCCAGGTTGAATCTAGTTTGAGTTGAAGTGAGTTAATATACCTTTGATGTGCTAGTCTGTTTCTATTCCACATTTACAAGCAAAGTAACATTTTAATGCTAAGTAAACTGCATAGCCTGTGGTATTGTTTATGATATGGATGGCACATTTTGTTCATAATGTTCCTAAATGGGTAGGTCTACTTTTCAGTCCTGCTCTGAACAGATTCCAAACTGAGATCTGTTATGGGAGACCAGGCCAGTTAAGGACCACTCATGGAAACAGACCCTTTGACACCAAGGACCCTTTGTTCCTCAGTACTGCTTCGGGACCTAACATTCATTATGTATATCCTTCTCTTGTTAGATCTCCCAAAATGCATCACCTTGCACTTATCAGGACAAAATTCTATCTGCTGTTACCCTACCCAATTTACCAGCTATACCCTAAAACCATCCACACTATCAACAGCACCACCAATTTGTGTATTGTCTACAAATTCAATAACTATACCTCTAATGACTTCAGTGTGAATACAATGTACATAAAATAACAAACAGCAAATGCCCTAGCAGCAATACCTGTGGTACCCTGTTGGTTGCAATCACACCACCATCACCCTTTGCCACCTTCTTAGGCAGTTTTTAGATCCAGCTTGCCTTGGATCCCATGGGCTCTTTTGGACCAGCTGTCCACGTGGGATCTTGTCAAAGGCCTTACTGAATTCTGTGTAAATAACATCAACTGTACTCCCCTCATCAATATATTAATTACCTTTTCAAAAAAAAAACCTGAATAGGTTAGTCAGGCAGGGTCTTCCTGTAACAAAATTGTGCTGAATATCCCTGCCTTTCTAAGTGTTCTTTAATCCTGACCCTCGAGCAGAATTTTCTTCAACAATTTCTCTACCACTGACATCAGACTAATTGATCTGTAGTTACCTGGCCTATCCCTGCTGCCGTTCTTGACTGATGGAACCAAGTTAGCCATCCTCCAGTCATCTCGCACTTCACCTATGGCCAGCGAAGTCTTAAATATCTCTGCCAGCGCCCCAGCAATCTCCTCCCTTGTCTCCCGTAGCAGCTTGGGCCACTTCTCATCAGGCCATGGGGATTTATGCACCTTTATGCCTGCTAAAACCTCTGCTACCATCTCTTTAGTAATCTTAACATGTTCTAGAACCTCAGCATCCCAAATGAAATTCCCAGCTACAATGCCGTTCTCCTCTGTGAATACAAATAAGAACTATTCATTCAAGACCTCACCCAAGCCCAGGGGATCCATGCACAGGTTACCCCTCTTGCCTATGCTGTGGTTCTTGACTACTGTTCGTTGATTAAACTCTCTCACCAAAAAATCTGCTCTACCCTCAATGCAATCTTATGTCACCGTCCCAGGCTCCGGTGGCAAAGTGGTAGTGTCCCTAACGCTGGGCCAGTAGGTGTGGGTTCAAGATCCAGCTGCTCTGGACATATTTTGTAATGCGAATCGATTGATTCAAAATATATATGTCAGTGTGCCTCATGCCTCTGCATCCTGCTGTTAAATAACTAGTTCGCAAAGGTCCAATATGGAATTGACTGAACCATGTGATACATTGAGTGCCCCTGCTGATTTAGGAAGATGTTCTTAGAATAAAATTATCTTGCGGGCTAAATTTTCCAAAATGAATTCTAAACCTTCGGTCACATTTTTTAATATATAAGCTGGTTACAGAGTAATTTTTGCAAATCTCACTCAGCTCATAGGAATCCGGAATAATACAACTGCAGGTGCTGAAGGTCTGAAACAAAAACAGAAATTGCTGAAGGAACAGCATATCTGTGGAAGGAAAGCTGAGTTAACGTTTCAAGTCCAGTGTCCCTTCTTTAGAACTGATGTAGCTAAATAAAGGTGATATCTATGCTGATGACAGGGCGTAGGGTGAAGGAGTGAGCAGACAGGGGGAGATGGGAGCCCTGCAGGAGAGCAAGAAAGTTAGCCAGACGAAGGAATGGTTGATAGTAAGCCAGGGAAAGAGAAAAGTTGATAATGAGGACCAGGAGCAAGTGAAAATGGGTCAGCTGTGCTGAAAGCAGCCTAAGTCATGACAGGACCTGGGGTGTTGGGGTGGGTAAAGGACATGGAAGAAGGTGTTCAGGCTGTAAAGTTATTGATCTCAATATTGAGTCTTGAAGGCCGCAGGGTCCCCAAATGGAAAATGAGGTGTTGATTTTCCAGCTCACGCTGAGCTGCACTCGAAGAGCTGCAGCAGGCCTGAGAAAGATACATTGGCCAGGGAACAGGGTGATGTGTTGAAGTCGCAGACAACTGGAAGCTCAGGGTTTTTTTTTATATGGACAGAATGTAGGTGTTCCACAAAGCAGTCACCCAGTCTCCATAATGTAGAGGAGACCACATTGTGAACATTTTATAGAAATTGAGGCCAGTTGAGCAACTGAAGTGAGATTCTGTGACACTCACTAGGAATTATTGCAGCAACTTTTTGGATGGTTGGTGCATTCAGATTGATGAAGCCCCTACTTGTGCACAAAGCTGTCAACAATATTGATTTTTGTAGTGTCTTATGGCCACAGTATGACTCAGCTACCATGCAGGCCATCATTAAGGCATAGATTATTCTCAATTACATTTGGACATTTCTATCTGTCATTGGCTATGTAACTCAAGACCACTCTCATGAGTGAATTCCAACTTCCAAAACCTCTGAGAGTGCACCCTTCTGCCTGGGGAACTACTGGTAGGTAATATTTCTATAGTATACCCACAAAATGAAATGATCCCCGCCTAGTAATTGCTACTGGATTGATGCATAAATGATCCTGTCTTCAAAAGGGTTAACAGGTTTACATAGGCCTGTTTTAAGTTTACAATGTCAAGAAAATCAATTTGTACACAAGTCGAACAAGCATGTATATTTGATATTTAGACAGATATTCCTCCATGTAACTTGAGTGGACAAAATAAGATCAAAGATCTAAGAACGAAGCTACCACTTTGTTGGGAAAATAAATCGTAAGTAATATTTTTTTTCAGTTTATTTCTATTTCAAAATAACAGAAAATATAGGAGTAGAAGTAGGGTAATCCTTCCTCAAACCTGCCCTGCCATTCAACAAGATAATGGATAATCTGCCCAGGACTCAACTCCTTTCTTGTGTCAGCTCCTCATAGCGCTTAACTTCCTAATACAAGACTTAAGCTGTTTAACCATTCTTGTTAAGTCAACCCTTCATCCCAGGAATTGTCCGAGTGAATCTTTTGAATTGCTTGCAATGGCGGAACATCCTTTCTCAAGCCTATATTATTTCCTGGAAATTCAGGTTAGTTCTTTTGTTTTTCGGGAACTTAAACTTGTTAACTTTATTTCTCCAGATCTGCTGAGTGTCTCCAACATTTTCTGTGTTTACTTCAGATTCCCAGCATCCACAGTATTTTGCCTTGGAGATGGTTATTGCCTGGCACTTTCTGTGGCATAGCATTTACTTGCCACTTATCGACTGAAGCTTGAGTGTCATTCAGGTCTTGCTGCACATGAGACAAACTGCTTCAGTGTCTGAGGAGTCACGAATGGTGTTAAACATTGAGCAATCATCGGCAAACATCCCCACTTCTGACCTTTTTGATGGAGGGAAGATCACTGATGAAGCAGCTGACGAACAGTTGGGCCTAGGACATTATTATTAAATGTGGTGTCCCTACCTCTAGACCAGGTAACCTGGGTTCAAGTCCCACCTGTTCCAGATGGTTGTAATAAGATTTCTACACAGGTTGGTTTAGAAAATGTCTATTTTGAAATGTAAGGTTTTATAAGATGGTTTAAACCAGGCTTGTCCAACTGGTGGCCCACAGGCCAGACTGTGGGCCACCAAGAGACCCATTGGCCCACAACTGGTGTCCCAAATATGGCAAACAAATCTGAAAGAAACTGGAAAAATGCTCCTTAAACCAGAGGACCTTTCTGTTGTATGTTTGCTGGTGATAAGGCTCATCAGTAACCACCACCCCCGCAATGTAAATAGTTCTGACAACCCTGTTTTAAATCCTCTCTTAATTCAAAGTAAAACAGACAGGAGGACCCTTGACAATGAACCTGTGTGATCTGGTTGTTGTGGGGGCGGTG